CCTCGGAACTTGGATTCCGAGTTTTGAAGCCGGAAGTGATGACATGTGCGCTCCCGTTTCTCGGAGATCCGAGAAATATCTCGGACAGCACAGAGGATCTCAAGTTCAAAATCCAAGATGGCTGCGCCCTTTATCAACAGAAGGGAAAGTTGTAGTTTTATCCTGTTTGAGGACTACTTCTCATTTGTGGCTCATTAAATCGGTCGCACGCACTATACCGTCCAACTTATCTGTGGACGTGTTGCTATGGAGTTTTATACGTGTAAGATGTAAGAACTCAGGAAACGCTCAGGTCCAAGAGAGTTGCTGCAAAAGCCGTTGAATCAAACTTGTCATGTGTGGGATCCAGTGGACCAGCAAAGCGTTGACGCATTGATCTGAGGAGCACTTGAGCAATTTGCATCTCCACCCTGAATGACTGCAGATATGCTTCCAAATTCAGCAAAGCTGGTAGCACCACTTGACAGTGCAGCTCTGTCACCCATGGATGAGGCTGGGCCATCAGAAACAGGTAAGATACTTTTATGGTTGCATGTAATTGGCTACACCAAGTAGTATGTGTCATACACCACAGTAGACCCACAAGTGACTGTCACTGAAAACTAATTGTGTCAGACGCGTCAGTGGGTTTATAAAGCACATGTTCAGTAAAAGTGATATTTTATTTCTTTGCGCCTGCACCTTATATGACTTTGGAATGATTCCTCGTCACTAGCATGACCTGCCTGTGCATTTTATGTAAATATAACTTGATCATTCTATTTGTTTATCAAGGTTGATAATTAAATTGGAGTCTGTTCATATCATGTGCCGATCCATTTGCTTCAGTTATGCTTCTCTACCACTAGGGGTTTGTGTGTACCCATGGATGGGAATATTCTTAAATATATGCACAGAAGTTAATACATACCATTCTATACATAAAATTTGCATAGTTTACACTAGAGATGAGAGAAATTACACTTTTTTGGGACACAGTTCATGTGATTCAATTCACCTAAAAGACTCGTTTTGATTCATTCACCAACTTGTTCAGTGGCACTTCCTGTTTGCATAAAATGGATCTGAAACACTTCTGATGTGTCAAAAGTAGTCAGCTAAATATCAGCAATAAGTCATGTGAGAAAAATAATATTTGCTATTGAATTATAGTTTAAGTCTTGGCAACATTGTACCTTAGTCACTCATCTTTTAAAAAAAAAACGCAAACCTAACAGCTCATCACATAGTCAGTTAATTAGACCAAACATTATCAAATCTTGGTTAGATTGTTTTAAATTGTGAAACTGTTGCATCTCTAAAATCCAATTGCAGCATCCAGAAGTCACTACATACCTGTATGTAGGATCAGGGGCGCCGCCAGAAATTTTGCCCCCCCCCCCCCTTTTTGCGAAAAGGTAAAGCCCCTAACAGGGCCCCATGTCAGTGCTGGGCCCCTAGAATCGTTCTAACCTTTCCCCCTCTGGCGGCACCCCTGTGTAGGATGTATACTAGTGTTCAGTCATGACTAAGAAGCAGCCTATCTGAGTCTCTTGTAAACCCACAGAATGACCACGAGAGACCTGAAAGGGTGACTGAGAGACTGTATCATTCGCTGACTTTATCACCAACTTGGTCACTCCAACTTGTCTCATGTTCAGTTA